TTCTCAGGGCGATCCAAGTAATCTCTCTACACTTTTCATCGTGTTGTGCACCATCTAGGAGGATCATGCAAAAGAAAAATCCTCTCTATAATATTATAATTGAAGATGATCTTATACCTGCCGTATTTGACTACTGGAAATCTGTCGTACACTTACCACTTTTCTCTTAACCATTTCCTCCCAGTTTTGTAATAATACACTTTATGTGAATTAGAGATCATGCAAAAAGAAAAATCTCTATAATATTATAATTAAGAGATTATAATATTGACTACTGAAATTGTGACAACTACACTTCTAACCATTTTCTCCAGTTTTTGTTTATTTTGTTTTTCTTTTGAGACAGGGTCCTGCTATGTAACCAAGGCTGGCCTCAAATTTGCAATCTTTCTGCCTCAGCCTCCCCAAATGCTGGGTTTACAAGCATGGAACCCCACTCCTGGCTGCTACAAGTTCTTTAAGTACTATGTAGTTTAGTTCTCATAATAACCAGTGGAGATCGGTAGTGTTTTTGTTTCTCTACATGCATCCATAATCCAGTTTTCAGGGATGATATTTCTCCTTAAGATCTAAGTAGCAACAACTGAAATACCAGTTTTGTAAGCAACTGGCAGAACATTTCACTGTTAGGGCACTTCCCAAAGATAACTCCTGGGAATTCTAAAAACTGCATATGTGGTGTTCAAATCTGTCCTCCTGATGAAGTTGTTATATCTTTCCTACAAAGATCATCCCCTCAAAACTCAGATCAGGAGCATGGTCTGTCCCCTTGTGTCTTGTCAGATACTGTGACTTGCCCAGCCGTGTTAAAAAAATGACAAGAATTTCAATTTTCATTTCTGCCCAACCCTTCCTACAGATTTTGTTTTAATGAATTTCACTGTTTCTTTAACTATTATTATCACTTAATTATGATAGGGTTTTTTTGTGACAGGTTTTTACTATGTAGCCCAGGCTGATCACAAACTTGCCTCTGCCTCTGAAGTACTGGGATTACAGCATGCTGGAAGGGCTGGGAATATGACTAAAATGGTAGAGTGGTAAACCCTGAGCTCAATCCCTAATACAGAAAAAGAAAAAAAAGAACAAGAAGAAATAAAGGATTTCATGGGGGAATGTACACTGATCAAGAAATTTTGTTTTCTGGAGAAAAAGAAACACAGTTGTTAAATAGTGCAACAAATCTGTGTTTGGAATAAAATAAAGCTTGTTGGTTGCATGTATCAAGATGGAGCAAACAACATTTAATTAAATTTAGTTCCCTTCCTTGATGGATGAGAATATATGAATATATAGGTATATATATATGTGTGTGTGTGTATGTGTGTGTGTGTGTGTGTGTGTGATTGATGAAAGTATATGAATAAGTGCATAATTAAATTCTCCTAAGAAAAACCAGAAAATCAGAACCAGAAAAAGAGGCCTATTGTTCATAAAATCTTAAGTTATTATCAAAGCACTCTCCATTCTTGTTTTGGGAGGAAGGGGGCTATTTTCAACCTCTATTCTTAAGCAACTTTTAAAGTCCTATACCTGAATAACAGAAAAACAAAGTGAACAACTTGAAAAAAACCATAAACAATATTCATCTTTATAGTGATACATATATACATATATAACTTGTATCAAAACAAATACATACAAGCAAAGATCCTATTAAAGTTCATCCTTGGCAATAACAAGATACATACATGGATAAAAAGAAGTAAAATCATGCAAGCATGTTATATCATGACTATAGTTTCAAAAATATAAAATTAAACCAATTTTTGGAAAAACAAATTTTCTAGGATTTTATTCAAATTTTATATCCAGACCACAGGAAAAGAGTGACAAGTATAAAGCAATGTTAAGACTCACATTAATCATTTTATATTTAATTATCTTCAATTATCTAAACATTGTCTAATCAAACATTTATTTTGTGGCTGAGTGGCAACAGATTTAATGAAGACATTGTAGCTTTAGAGGAAAATATTCTAGCAGTTATTTCCTAATATGCAGACCAAAGAATTAAATTGATTCTTATTCTCACATTTTAAGCATCAAGACTCATCTAGTATGTTTTAGTATGGTGTTCAGTGGATAATGATGAGCTCCTTTGTGTGCCAAATCTTAAGAATTCTTAGAGGTTTGTTGAATGAACATCATCATAGAAATGAAAGGTACCATTCATTTTATTTTATTCCAAACAAAACAATTTTCTACACTTTATGTTAATAAGCTAGATATGCTCGTGTCACATACTGCAATGTAAGAGTTCTTTTAGAAATCAGAGCACCAGTTTACTGACAAGACTAAAAGTAACCATAATCAATTGATTTTTAAATGGGCATGTCATAGACCTCCTGCAATTAGAATATATCCTTACAATACAGGTAACATTTCCTAGGAATACAGCACTAATTTATCATTACTAACAACATAGCACAACATCAAAACAGCTTTTGCCCCTCCAAAGCTCTAGAAGCTGTTCATCTCCCTAAAATCACCATTAAAAATGAAACAAAAAGCAGCTAACAGCTTACACCTGATATGAATAGACACAACCATACACAAATACTCTCTCTCATGTCAAACTCTGTAACAGGAAAAAAAATGACTAAATTGTTTTCATTAATTTAAAATGTCACAGAGATGGGATGTGCAAAAGTACATGCTTAAGGTTCATGGTTCTAAAATCATTAGCACCTTATATTCATTTATGATTGCCATTCCATACTTACATTTTTGGCTTAGCACTTGGAAACGAGGTGATTGTGCAGCTGGACTCCATTATCCATCTGGTTAGAGACAACCATAAACTGAATCTGCTAGGACTTATCCCAGAACTTCAAGAACACGATGGCCAGTTCTTTTTAGTTCTCTTTAGTTTATTATTGAATTTTCACCCCACTTGTTATTGCCACATTACACGTATAAGACTTTGGTTAAATGTCTGTCCCTTTTGGCCTTTTCCTATATTTAAAATTTTTGTTTGCATTCAGTCTTCCATCTTCTAAGACACCTTTGGTAAAATAAATATTCATTTATCAGCAACATAAATATTGAATATAACTAAAATCACTTTCATTTATTCTCTAAATTTTTACCAACGCACAGTCATAGATTCCCAAAATCCTGTAATCAATACAGCAAATCCATTGCTTTGACAATATAATAATTTAACTGAACACAATATTTTTATTCTCAAGCATAAGAGTAAAGAAAAGTAAAAAGAAAAGCTACAATAAGAAATTTTGAAAAAATTTTAAAAAGAAATAGCTATTCATGAAGATGCTTATATGCTCAGGAAATTCTCAAATATGATAGTTTGGCCATTTAAATGGGCTTAAAATTTAACTATTATATTCCAAATACATTTGCTTATTTACAGTGAAATATTTGATGATGCATCAGAGGTAGACCAAAATATGGTAAAAAATTGTTGTTTATCACATAACATTCAGATTGAAGGTGTTTGTTGAATGAATTTAATATTCAGCATTGGTTATATCAAATTAACTCTGAGAATATTTAAAATTAATGTCTTGCTTTGTTGGAAAAATTCATGCCAATACGTGTAAATTATTTACCTGTACACATGAATATTTTGGTAATGAAACATGCAAGTGAGAAAACTAAAATTTTATTCCTTCTCTAAATCTATAGTATCCATTAACTCTTTAGTTTTAAACCAATAATAATCATATTTTATGTGATAAAGAAGCTTACATCATGTAAAATAGGCAAGAGACACCAAATTTGGTACATTTGCTTAAATATTATTTAAATATCTACCATTTAAATTTAATTTGGATAAGAAGTAGAACTTTTAACCTACATGACTTGGGCAAAGTTTTAAAGAAAAGATTTACACATACCTACCTCAACAATAAGTACCTCAACCATAATTTGATGTCTGTAAGATATGATCAATGAAAAGAACCACTGAAGGAGTTCTTTTTTAAAATAATTAATCCCAGACCTTCCCAGGAAATTCTGACTTTCTAGATATACAGATATCAATGGAGCAATTCAGATTAGCCAGTGACACAAAATAATAATAAGCCAACTGTCTAATAAAACTGAATAAAATTTCATGTGCAACTACTGCTTTGAAATGCTACAGTAATTGACATCTGAGTAAGAGTTCTGTCATAGACTTAATTCTTTATCTGGCTGAACATGCAATAGAGCCAAACACTTATGGCCAGTGTTGCCAACTCATGGTGGTTGTAGTGTTGCATCATTCATTGATTTATTTTCAGCTTTTTATTCTGTAATAAAAGTCTCTCATTTGACTTTTTCTTTTTGTTCCATTTACTCATTTATAAATAAAATGTTCTATTCATTTCCCAACTAGAAATCTTTCAAATGATGGAAGAAAGGCAATTACAATTATCCCTCATTGTCTATGGAGGACTAGTTCCAGGATCCCCCAAAGGTTATAAAAATCTGCAGATTTCAAATCCCTTGTATAAAACCGAAGTACTGGCAAGCAACCTACTCATATCCTCACACACAGTACTTTAAATCATCTCTAGATTACTAATAAACCTATTGCATAATAATTGCTATGATATAGTATTGTTTAGGGAATATGGTAAGAAAAAAATCTGTACATGTTCAAGACAAATGTAATTTTTCCCGAAATATTTGCAATTGTTGTTGGTTGAATCCAAGGACAGGGAACTCACAGATAAAGAGTCCTGCTTTTATGGCACACATTTGTCATAAAAGTTTTCACACTGCCTTCACCTGAATTCATTCATCATTTTATTTTACACTCCTACCCCTGAACATATTTTTCAATTAGCATATGACTCTCTACATACTCTGTATTTCTCTTGATAAGCATAGACACTTATTCACAAAGGTGGCTACACACCAGCTCCGAAACTACAAAGGCAACCCTGTTAGAGCTTCAAGTTTCTCAACTACTGTTTTCTAGATATCTATCAAGAAAGGAGTAAGACTTTGAGCAGTGTGGATACCTTGTCAGAAATGCTTTGCTTTTTTTAAACAGAGTCCACCTTTATTAGATTGTTGTTGGTTATTAATGGAGATGGTTTGCGTTTAATCCTATTTGCTACATCATTAGAGCTATCCACAAAGAACAGCTTGGCTGTACACAGTGAGACTATAATTCTTCTATATTCGTTTCTGAAATTTTGGTTCAGTAGTCCATATATAATTGCATTGAGACAGCTGTTGAAATATGCCATATAGTAACTAGCCACAAACAGCCACTCCGGGATCCTGGGGACCATGCTGGCAGGATCCAAGGCTACAATAAGACCAATGAAGTTTAGAGGAGCCCAGCAAATGGCAAAAAGTACAAAAACCACAAACATGGTGACAAAATTCCTGAAGTCCTGTGGTTTCAGTTTGGGTTTGTTGTCAGGTTTCACCCTCCGTCTGACCCGAAGAACCAGGATCCATATTCTTAGGTAGCAGAAGATGACTATGATCATAGGAACGATGAAATGGAAAACCACCACAGCTATTGTGTACACTGAACTGACAGACTGGGCGAATGTACAGGAGTAGATCCTGGGGTCGTACTGGAGTGTTCCAGTTCGCAAGTTGGGCATAATTGCCACAACTGTCAACATCCATATCAGGAATACATAACAGAAGGAATTTTTGTTAGTGTACAGCCTGTCGTACTTGAGACTGTGGCAGATGTAGCAGTAGCGGTTAATGGCAATCCCAGTGATACTGAATATCGAGCCAATGACACTCAAGCCCATCAGAAAACCACTAACTTGACAGTGCAGATATCCCATGTTCCAACCATTGTTAAATATTGATGTCAGCACCAAAGGGTATGGGTAGATGGCCACCACCAGATCTGCAACTGCCAGGCTCACCACAAATATGTTTCCTGAAAGAAAAAGATTTATACAACACAGGTTAGTATTCAGCACTGCATGGATTGCATTGTTTTCCACAATTATTAAAGAGCTGTTTCCATAACTTGTGTGACCAGATATCATAGATACTGCCATATTGTAAATTAAGTGAATGCGATTTTCAGCAGGAAGTAAGCCCATTGTTGTCCTTGTCTAATCTAGTCTACTCTCTATGCACTTCTGCATCTCTAGAATAAGGTAGAGTCCATATCCAAAGCTGTTCACTTTCAAACTAGCTTTTTTTTTTTAAGTCTTGGGTTCATTTTACTTGTATGGTATCTTTTGTTTTAGAATCTTCAACATTACCTGAGAAATCTCATATCAAGTTATTTCTCAAGCCAGCCGTGACTTCCTGAAACTCCAGGTTTTCTGTACTGTCTAGTCTAGTTCTTCAGCAGTTATCAAATGGGCCTCTATTTAGATTTCGTTGTTGAAGGGCAATGGATCCTTGTCCATATCACAAGCATTAAGAGAAAAAGGGCTCTGTCGTCAGCTGTCTGGATTAAAACACTGGCTTCATCCCCTACTAGCTACGTGACTGAGGAAAGTTATTTCACCTTCCCAAGCTTCAGTTTCCTCTTCTGTAAGATGGGGATAATGACAGCATCTTTCTCACAAGGTTGTAGTGAGCAATAAATGAGGCAGTCTATGTCAAGCACTGTGCACTATTTCTATGCAAAAGTTGTTCATGTTCTACGACTCTCTCACTTCACATCAAAAGAAAAAGAAATTCCCTTCAATCTTATAAAGAAATTAAGGTTTAAAAATTAATCCCTAAATATCATGAGTGATAATTTTGTATATGAATATAATAACTGAACACATTCTTAATGTATAGAAGAACTCTAGTCAAATTTCATAAGATGTTTTACAAGTATGCTCCTTTATTTTGTGGCTTTTTAATCTTTGTTTCTTACTACTCCTTCTGCCTTGAGTGATTCCTCACTCCAACTTCTTAACCTCTACGTATTTTTCCATGTCCATCCTAAATGAAGATGCCCAGAGCCTTTGCTTATTTGCCTTGCCAGAGATAAACATTTCTTCCTTCAAGGGTACCTAAATCACTTTGTTTATACCATTTTCAATTTAGATTAAATTATAATAAATTTTACTCGATAAAAACTCATTAAATGCACATATGTATTTGTATTTATGGAAATGAATAGACAGGAAAACTCAGCAAAACAAATAAAATTGCAATACAGTAAGAAGTACAAGAGAATGTACACAGTAAGAAAAAATGAAGAATGAAGTAGCTAGATAGAAGTAGGAGGGGCATTCCAGGAGCAGTGAAAATATATTTTGCCTTTGGCAAAGCAAGTACTTACATATTTATTTATTTATTATTTCTTTTATTCATATGTGCATACAATGTTTGGGTCATTTTCCCCCCTTCCCCCCCTCACATATTTATTTATAAACTTGGCTTTCCTACATTTTTAAACTGCATCTGCTGAGACTATGTCTTTCTCCTATTTGCATTTTGAACAGTACACAGTACAATGACTTTTGCTCATGTCTGATGATATAAATTAAATTGTCACCTTCCAACATTGAAATAAGATAGGTTTTGTATTGAAAATTCCTATTTCATTAATTTTATTCCTCTAGGAAAATTACTCTAAAAAATGAAGCAAAATAGTAGTCATGATGTAAGAAAAGCAAACTTTATGGCATTTAAGAATTTCAGATAAATTGCTATAAAAGTAGTCCTTAAAAATTTCTTATATTATTCAAGTTAATTTGTTAGAATGACAAATTAATTTTTCTCACAGATAAATTTCAATTGCCAGTGAAGTATTTAAATTCCTAAATCAGCATAGTTTAACCAAAATTTTAATTCAAAATATTTAAAAATATGTGTAGTATTGAATTCAGCAACAAATTAAAATGTCATTGAAACAGAACATTTTTACACAGAATGTCATCCTGACAAACTGGCTTATTATAGATTTATTTTTAAAGAGTTTAAAATTAAAATCGCAAATGATGTCATTTTTTTCATGGCTTTAATCCTATGTTTCATTTGTTTTATAGGACTTATACTTCATTACTGTTCAACTAAGTACACTAATTAAATCTTCAGTTTAATTTTCTTTGAATTAATCTCATTTTGCAGATGTTTGGAGAAAAAAAATAAAGTCGCAGACACTGTGCAGAAGTGGCTATTGGTTAGCTCAGCTTGAAGCTTCTTCATAGCTCCTGTGTATGTACGGGGGGAAGGGGAAGAGGAATTTTTTCATTTAAGAACTCTACCATGTAAGGGAAATTAAATAATTTAATCATAATTATACATAAGTATAATATTCTATTCTCAAATCTGTACTATTTCAGATAAATTAGCAATCTATCCATTTTCGCAGATACAAAAGACTCCGTGGACCCAGAATGATAGTGTATTCTGCAATGTAAAATGTTTGTCAAAATCTAATAATTTCTTCTCTATCAGATTTACTTGCAGTCTTTACTGTGGAGGAAATCATAGAATTATGCAAGGTTAAGATGAAGAGGTACACTATTAGTGAACATCTTGTATAATTCTTATTTTTTTATAGTAAAAGTAATAGCAAATTTACTAGGAAAGGAATTTAACATAACAGGATAAAGGTGAGGAGAAGTGGGGGGAAAAAGGAGAAACATTTCCTGTTCCCCATGCAGCAAACAAGGAAAAGATAGAAACATGGGGTTAAATTGGATGAAGTCATAAAACTAGCTAGTGAAGAGTCAAGAATGTACAGTATTGTTTATTCTTTGGTATTGCCCAATGTATTTCCCTGTGCTCCTCCACAGACAGGAGGGTCTGCAATGGAGTTCCTTAGCCAGGCTCTGGCTTAGAGCCTCTTCAGGCATCATTCTACAAAAGTACATTAGAACTAGAAAATTATAGAGATGATGGGAGAGGAGGAGGGAGACCATGTAGAGGGCACAAAAGTAGCGATAAGAAGAAACACATAACAGCGTCTGTGATTACAGACATAAACTATAAAATACACAGTGGATTATAAGCATATCTCTACTTTTTACCATCCCCTGACAGCCCAAGGAATCAACTTCATGAGGGCAGTGCTTGTCTCAGACCATCACCACTATGAGCAGTACTTGGCATGGAGTTAAAATGTATGGTGAGTTTTCATTGTGTCAACTTAACTGGCCTGAAAAGACATTTCATTTCATATCTCCAGGTTAACTCTCCCTACACGCGATTTGAAAGATGTATGTTAACCAACAGTCATACCGAAAGACCTGTGAAGACCAGCAAGCAACATTGCAGGTCTAGGAACTTTGAGTCTCGTCTTCTGGTCTGCAGTGGTGATGGGTCAGCAGCATGCTCACAGCAACTCCAGCTCCTGCTGAACTCTGCTGGCCTTGGAGAAAGTGGGAGAATGACCCACCCTGCTGAGGGGAGTTCTGTTCATCCTCCTAGGTTCCAGTCCTTCCTCACACATGCTAGTGTTCCTTGCATCCATTTCCTTCTCTGTGGACTTTAGGCTTCAGCACAGACACAAAAGAAATAGCCTCGGTCAACTCTTTCATCAGCTCCCACAATTTTTGTAGAGATTTCATTTCTGGGATTCGCGGAACCCTGACTGGCTCAGAATTTGGTAATAGGAGTGGACCAAGAAGAACTATAAGGATAGTCTCTCCATATTAGTACTGGGTTACCTGCAATTGCTCTGAAATAGGACCAGATGTAAAGTGTTAAATCCCCTATTTCTAGTGTCAAAGGGGACACATGTATTTCATGACATGCAGTGCCAAAAGTTACTGAAATTGTCATGAGTACCACCTTCCAAGGTAAAGAAAAAGTTGTTACTTTACCCCTCTCACCACTAAGAATAAAAACATACCTCCTTTTAACATACTACACAACATAATTTACTGAGTAACCACAAAAGGTTGTCAGTTTTTATTGGAGCCCAGAAAAAGAAAAGTTTCTGAAATTACCCAGTCATTCAACCCATCTGATTCAATTGCTATTGTCTAAAGGTGGATGTACACACACACACACACACAAATTCACATGTGGAAACTTCATCATCAACATTAGAGTATTGAGGTGAGGTCTGCAGTAAGTTATTAAGCCATGATGGTAGAGTTCTCATTCACAAACTTAGTGACCTTATAAAACAAGTATGAATGGGCTGTTCATCCCGTCTACCCTTTCCATTCCTCCTACAACATTCATCCTTTCTAAATGATGTTCCACAATCATGGAAGCAGAAAATAGCCCTGTTTCTTCACCTTGGACTTTCTAACCTCCAGAACCATGAGAAATAAATTTCTGTTATTGATAATTACCCAGGTATTTTATTACAGCAAAAGTGGATCGAGACACTTTTTTTTTTAAAGTGGGTGACTTTTAATACAGATCCTTGGGACTTGGCAGCAAATCTGTACTATCCTCTGCAGATGAGAATGCCTCATTTGAGAAGGAATTGACTTGCTACTCAGCTAGGTAGAATCTTGACCATGTACCACCAAATGACCATGTGATCTGAAAGGTCCCAAAGGGAGTAGGTGTTGTCTGACCCACCAAATCATAAGGTTTGGCATGCACAGTATCCAATAGAAATGGTATGTCCAAGATGTGCTCAAGCAAGTCCTTAAGGCCCAAGTAGGTTGCACAGATATCCATGACCCACATCCTATTCTCTCAGTATGCACCTATGGCCTCATAGGGAGCTCCCTTTGACCAGATGAATAGGAAAGAAGTTCTGGCTTGGTTTATGGTTGGTTCTTCACAATATGTTGGCACTATCTGAAATTGGACAGCTGTAGAACTGCACTGCAGTCACAATCCAGAGTGGTCCTGAGGACCAGGGTGAAGGAAAACTCTCCCCATGAACAGAACTTTGAGCACTTCAAACAGATCTTCAAACTAGTTGCTCATTTTCCCCAGAAGTAGAGATGGCCACGACACAGAGCAACACTGATCCATGGGTGACACTAGTGGCCCAGCTTGATGGTCAAA